TGCCTAGAACATTCTCCCACAAGATACTCCCATAGCAGCTCCTCTCACCTCCAGGTCTCACCTCAGATGTCCCTTCCTTCAAGAGGCCTTCTCTGACCATGCCGCTTGAAGTTTTGCTCTTCTCTCTCTCACTCTCACTCTCTCTCTCTCTCTCTCTCCTTAATTAATTAAATTAGTTGATTATCATTACCTGAAATTATTTTATTTAATTAGTTTTTTATCATCTGTCTCTTCGACATAAGGCAGAGACCTTGTGGGTTTTGCTCACCTTTGTGGATATGATGGCACATAGTAGGTGCCCCATAAAATCCATCAGATGAGTGAATGCATTTGAATAGCTCTCTACTCCTCTACCTGTTTCTTCCAGAAACTGTTGTCCTCACCACCTGACTTGGTTTGAGGTATGAAAATGAGGAAACGCTCCTGAAGTACCTATAGCAAGTGCGCATCCAGTGCTGTCATCATTATTATGAATTATTAACAAGAGCCAGGCAGCCTGAGATGATGACTAATGACAAGATCGGCCCCACGGTTCCCAGCACCGTGCTTGTCCCCTGGCATGCCTCACGCATCAGTTACAGAGCCAGCATGACAAGGAGCTGTGTGGATAGAGTACAGTTCTTTAACCTTGGCAGGGGGAGGGGCAGGTGTCCTGGTGGGTGCCAGGAACCCAGGCCTGGCTGTGCTAACTTTGCACACAGAGTGGGTCTGCAGCTATCAGTGAGGAGTCCAGTTTAATCACATGTCAGTGTCCCCATTCATCTTCGCGCTATCTGGGGGCTCATCTTTTTCCACCCTGTGGCATCATGGTGATTGATGATCCTGCGCCAGTGCGCTGCTGGGTTAGCACAGCTCACAGTGGGTGCCCCGCTTCTCCAGGCTCTGCCGTCTGGGGCCAGCTAGGGCTGAGAGCATGTTTCTTTTAAGAAGCCTGTTGAAGACTAAATTGTGTCCCCTCCTCCCAAGTTCATATGTTGGAGCCCTAACTCCCAAGTTAACTGTATTTGGAGATGGGGCTCTTACGGAGGTAATCAAGGTTAAAGGCGGTCATAAGGGTGGGGCCCTATCACATAGGACTGGTGTCCTTACAAGCAGACTATGAGACGTCATAATGCTCTTTCCATGCACAGAGCGGAATGGCCCCGCGAGGACACAGTGAGATGGCAGCTACCTGCAAGCCAGGAAGAGAATCCTCCCCGGAAACCAAACTCACAGCACCTTGTAGACCTTGGACTTTTAGCTCCAAGAACTGTGAGAAAATTAATACCTGCTGCGTAAGCCCCCTTGAGCGGACGGTGACAAGCCCTTGCTTCCTCCAGCTTCCGCGAGAGGAGGGTGGGGGTTGGAAATATGCCTCTGGTGGGAATGTTTCCTTTAGCAAAGGCAGACATGAGCCCTGCACAGAGGAAGTACCTCCCCGGGTATTCAGACACGCAGGCTGAGCACCTCACTGTGTTAGAGAAAGATCCTGGGCAGAGAGACCCAGGTGCTTGCAATAGGAAGCCCTCAGTGAGGACGGGAACAGTGGGTGCCCAGGAATGTGGTGGGAGAGAGGGGGTGTAGCACCTGCTACAGAAGACCTCTCTGAGGAGGTGACACTTGAACTAACATCAAAATGATACAGGGCACAGACCTCAGCCAAGGCTGTTGCTGTTGAAGCAGCATGTGCCCCGGCAGCGGCTCTCTGGGGCAGCCTGGCCTAAGGGCTGTGTCAGGACCCCTCCCAGAGCTTTCCCCTCCTGCTCTCCCCACCACCGTCATCCTTATCCTTCCCACCCTTTGTCCCCACCTACAGCGCACCCAGTGATTGGCTCATCAGGAGACGGTGGGAGGGGCTTTGGGGGGTCAATCTCGGAGGCTTTATCCACTCATTGGCCCTGAGAGAGGTGGGCGGGGTGGAGGGACGCCGCCTGCCTGAGGGATGTGAGAGGCAAGACTAGTTGAAATTCTGCAGCCACTACTGCCCCCGCTTCCCCAGAGCCGGAGGAGAAGGGGAAGAGCCTCCCTGGCCACTCAGTGATGCTCTCAGGCCTCAAGGGGCATGCCTCCCTGTGGTTCTAGGTGGCCCACCCCGCCAGCAGCCCCAGGGAGCCCCAGTCCAGCCTAATGGCCAAGTCAAGTGGGAGAATGATCGCGAGGTGACCCAGTAAGGCTGCTGGAGTCCTGTCTGAGGGGTGTCCTGTCTGTGATGGCCCATCAAGGACTCAGGGAGACAGCACTGAACACTCCTCAGGGGAATGCACTCCCGAGGCGAGAGGAAGAGGAGCATTTGAAAGCCCATTCCCACCCGTTATTGGCTGAGGGTTGCTTTGCAAGTGTGTGCTGGGGTGATGCCCCATTTCCTTGGAACTTGATGGAGTGTAGTGAACTTGCAAAGCACACAGGGTTACCTCACTTACTCACAATCCAATCCACCAGAGTCCCAGTCCTCAATAATTCCTGCAAACCTAGGAGGCTAGCCTAGGGTGCCACTTCCCCCCTTTGAACATTGCTCCCTCAGCCCTTCTCCCAGCCCCCAGCTCCCCAACTCAAGCAGCCCTGGGCAGGAAGGTGTGGTATCTCCAAGAGGCTTCCTTGATGGGGGAGTGCCCATACTACCTATGCAACCCTGCCCTGGTCCCAAGAAGCAGAGCAAGCCCCTCCCATTTGCCCCATACCTGGCTCCTGGCTCCCCCTCCACTTTGGCCCCAACATTTTCTGAACCTACTCTGTCCTCTCTGGCCTCTGAGCCTTTGCTTATGTTGTTCCTCTTCTGAGAAGGCACCTTCACCCGCTCTCTGCCTGTTGACAATTTTCAACATGCAATCAACAAAAATTTATATTCCGAGCCATGCACTGGGGACAGAGCATTAATCAACACAGACCTTCCTTTCAGAGTTTACGGTCTTGGGAAGGAAGAAAGATGTTAAAATACCCATCTCACAAATTGCTTTATAAATACAATTGTGGGGAGTGAGGCCAAGGAGAGGAGCCACAGATACAGAGGGCAGGGGGAGGGGGAGGAGTCTGGAGTTTCCCAGGAGGCCTCTTCCGGGAGTGATGATTAAGCTGAACTTGAAAGATGAACAGGTGAGAGGTGGAAGGGCATCGGGCAGTAGGAACAGTGTGTGTTCGGCCCTGAGCAGAGGAGACACTGAGAGGCTGGTGTGGAAGTGGGCAGTGGGCAGTGGGCAGTGGGCAGATTGGTAGGGACTGGAAACGGATCCTAAGAGATTTGGGAAGACCGGAAGTGTTTGAATCTACCAAACCACCCCGCTGGGAATTCGGAGGCCGCCCCAGCTTTGCCCTGACAGCCTTCAATAGGGTCCCAAATCCCCTGCATGAGCTGCCTTGCTGACGGCGCCAGGCCCTCCAGAGGCGTC